AGGACCTTCATGTGGCTTGGGGTCTTTCTTCTACCATCTCTTCTTGCTCAACTCCCTGTTATTAAGTCGATTCTCACTCATAGCGACCCTATAGCACAAAGTAAAACTACCTCTGTGGGAGCAGAAAGCCTCATCTTTCTCTCAAAGAGCAGCTGGTGGTTTTGAACTGATGACCCTGTCATTAGCAGCGTAACTCATAACCCACTACACTACTAGGGCTAACCTGAATTTAATCTGTTGTATATTTCAAAAGAGATGAACTCAAGATTAATCAATCACGTAAAAAAAAAAGATTAATCAATCACAAAAAGACAAACATTGCATGTCACCACTGTTGCAAACTATTTTTCAAGGTTTTCACACTAACCACTAACAGAAGCTGAGGTCAGGGATGAGATGGGAATGGGGAAGTAGATAGCAGATGCGTGTTAACTTGGAATGAAAGGGAAGACAATATCCGGCAAGAGGGAGATGGGTGCAAATGAGGGAAATAAGGTCTGACCCGGAGGGGTCCGATGAGTTGTTGAATATAAAAATGATGGTCTGTTCTGTAAACCTTTACCTCACTCACAATACAAAAAGAAAAAACAAAAAGATCGACTCAAGCTACTGATATCGCCTCATTAACATAACAAGGGCAACACATTCCAAAACGGGTTTATAAAGCAAGGCACAGAGGTTAGAATGTATATTATATTGAGGACTCACAGCTGTGGAGTGGGGAGGTGGGCGGGGGGGATCACTTGAATCGATCAGGCAGTGGGGAAACTGGAGAACGGTGTTGGCGGCAACACTCTCATTAGTCTTTCTGTACCGCTTTCCTCTCTGATGAGTCCACACTGTAGGCAGGGACCCAGGGACAGAACTGGGGACTGTCCTCCAAAGAAGCCATCTGGGCCCAGAAGATATGGGCAAAAATTCTTTTCCAACATCTGGCCATTCTTCTACCATTTTTCTTCCCTTTTGCTTGATCCTTTTGTTCCTGAATCATTTCCTCCTCCCTGAACAGACAATCCCCAGCTGAAATCAGTATTGTTGGAGTTCCTCAGGGACACACCTAGTTGTCATTGAGCTCTTAAACCTCAGCAGGTAGAGAGGAGAGGCCTGAATGTCTCACCTGGGCTCTTGAATAGGCTGCAATTGAGTCTGATAAGTTTGTGAACAACACCCTCTGCTGGTAGTTTCTTGTTAAAGCTTCTTCCGTGGGAGAAAAGGGGTTTCAGGAATCACGGGAGAAGAGAACAGAAGGCTAGGTGAGTGCCCTCGCTCTTATGTAATACTTTTTATTTTATATTCTCATTTCCCTGTTAATATATATATTTCATGCAAAAAGACTCAGAAACTAAAGAAAGTCACACGCAGGCATGCACACACACACCAAGCACAGTTCATGTAACAAGGGAATCCCACGGAGGACTCTTGGACTATATGCCTGCCATGGGCCGGCGAGCAGCATGTGCATCCCAGCTCAGCCCTGCAGAGCTTTCTGGCCTTGGGCAAGTTACTAACCTTGTTCAGGCATCAGTTCCCCAGCCTATAAAATGGGGATTGCTAGAGTGCTCAACCTTAACAGGGGGCTTCAAAAAGTTTATGATCTTTTCATTCCGGAAGCCCCCTCGGAGGGTCGTGTGGTGACAAAATGAACTAATATAGGGAAAGTGCTCCAAACGTCCCCTCCCATCCAGTCCACTCAAGCCCATAGTAACCCTGTGCAGTCTCCGAGACCGCCGCTCTTGATGGGAGCAAATAAGGGTTCCGTGAATATTGGCTGGGTAGGAGGTCGAAGGGGAAACATGGGGGTGGCGGGGCTCAATGAGATGGATTAGCAGAATAGCTGCATCAATGCCTCAAACATATCCCTACCACTGATGGTGCAGGACGGAGCGATGTTGCATTCTATTTAAGATGCCATGAGCCTGAGCCAAGCCAACAGCAATTAACATAACTTGGGTGAAGGGAGAGGCAATATACAATAAGGGAGAGGTTTGCACAATGTGGCCAAAGCCAAGGAAGACCCTGGGAAGAGCACACGAGTTACAATCAAGATAACACTGTGACAGACACAATCCTGCAATGACAGAAAGAGTGAACAGTGATCCACAAGTAGACACATAACAGGCAGACAGGCAAGCTGCCCGAGTCTGGGAAGGTGAGTGCAGCTACGTTCACGAGCCTATGCAGGCTTGATGGAAAATATCCACACACACGTATCTGTGTGCCCTGCAGATGTGTCCATGCGCAGAGGAGAGCAAACGGCTGTCCTTTTGTGGTTGCTGTTCTTAGGTGCCGTCAAGTCGGTTCCAACTCAGAGCGACCCTGTGTGCAACAGCACCAACCTCTCTGTCCCGCACCACCCTCACGATGGGTATGTCCGAGCCCATTACTGCAGCCACTATGTTGACCTCTGTAGTATAAAGTTGGTGGAGGGGCAACCCCCACCACTACCCATGGGTTCAGTAATGCACAATTGTACGGTTGAGATATAGAAGTATTATATTAAAGTCATCGAGAGCATGAGAGGTAGAGGAGAGATATTACAATAATGCAGTCAGACACATTACATGGTAGCATTGCTCACCTTAGCCCCGCTTGGTGGTCCACATGGAGAGGGGGGAAGGGAAAGGGTACAAGGGAGAGAGGATGGGAGAGAGGGGGAAGAGAAGAGAGGGGGAAGAGAAGAGAGGGGGAGAGACCAGTGAGAAAGGGCAATCTCTCACTAACCCAGGCCTATATGCCTTTTGGGGGCGTGCAAGCCCACTAATTACAGGTAAAGACATACGTCACAGGAAGGGGTTGCACTATAAGTTATACAGTAATGAGAGGGGGTGGTCTAGGGACATACACTCAGTAGGAAGAGGAGGGATTGGGGGTTTACATGTGACAAGATGGGTGGATCCTAGATTTAGGATGGCAGCTTAACTTTGGATGTCACAGAGCCGGCTTGACCTGTTCCTGGCTCAGCTGATAGAGACCATTATCGGTAGGGCATGAACTCCTCCTACTGGAGCCTGTCCGTTGTCCCCAGCAGCAGGGAGCAGGCCCACCCCTGTGGTGGGGTGAGACAGCAGTCTGACCTCCCCGCCCCAGAATCTACCTGATGGGGGCCTTCCTCTTTTTTTAGTGCCGCTATACTTTACCAAGCATGATGTCCTTCTCCGGGCGCTGGCTCACCTGATAATATGTCCAAAGGACATGTCAAAAGTCTCGCCATGCTCACTTCTAAGGAACAGTCCGTCTGTACTTCTGAACTTCTTCCAACACAGATGTGTCTGTCCTCTTGGAAGCCCACGGCACTTTCACAGTTCTTTGCTAGCGCCATCGTTTCCATGCGTTGGTCCTTCTTCGGTCTTCCTTGTTCGACATCTAACTTTCACACGCATAGGAGATGATGGAAAACACCACAGCTCGAGTCAGGCACACCTTAGTCCTCAAAGTAGCATCCTTCCTTTACAGCACTTTAAAGTTGTCTTGTGCAGCAGATTTACCCAATACAACACATCGGTCGAGCTCTTGAATGTTGCTTGCATGAGATGGATTATGGACCCAACCAAGAGGAAATCCTTGACAACTGCAATCTTTTCTCCTCTTATCATGATGCTACCTGCTGATCCAGTTGTAAGGACTTTTATTTTCTTTATACTGAGTTGTAATCCATACTGAAGGTGGCAATCTTTGATCCTTATCAACAAGGGCTTCAAGTCCTCCTTACTTTCAGCAAGCAAGGCTGTATCATCTGCATATCTCCAGTTGTTAATTAGCCTTCCTCAAATCCTACTACCTCATTCTTCTTCATATTATCCAGCCTCTTGGATTATTTGCTCAGCATTCAGTTTGAGTGAGTCTGATGAGAGGCTATACCCCTGACACACATCATTCTTGATTTTTAATCATACAGTCTTCCCTTGTTCTGGTCACACAACTGCCTCTTGATCTCTATGCAGTGTTCCAAATGGGCACAATTAAGAGTTCTGGAGTTCCCCTTCTTTAGGGCTATCCATAGTTTGGTATGATCCACACAGTTGAATCCCTTTGCATAGTCAATGTAACACATGTAAACACCTTTCTGGTGTTCTCTGCTTTCAGCCAAGATTTATCTGACAGATGTGATGATATCCCTTGTTGCACATCCTCTTTTGAATCCGGCCTGAATTTCTGGCAGCTCTGTGTCAATGTACTGCTCAAATTGTTGTTGGATGATCCTCAGCAAAACTGTACTTGCTTCTGATATTAATCATGTTGTTCTATCATTCGCTTTACCCAGTGGTCACTTTCTCTGAAATGGGTGTAGATGTGGACCGCTTCCAGGCAGTTGTCCAGGCCGTTCAGATTTCATAGCATCAGATGATGCGTGCTTCCAGAGCTTCCTTGGCTTGATGAAACGGTTTCCATTAGTAGTCTATCAATTCCTGGAGCCTTGCTTTTGGCAAATGTTTTGAGGCAGCTTGGACTTCTTCCTTCAGAACCATGGCTCTTGAGCATGTGCTGCTGCTTGAATGTCAACTAGTTCTTTTTGGTACAATGGCTGTATTCTTTCCATCTTCTTTTAACACTTTCTGCATCGTTCAATATTCTGTCCATAGAAACTTTCGATATTGAAACTCAAAGCTTGAAATGTTTCTTTAGTTCTTTCAGTTTCAGATATGCTGAGTGCATGCTTCCTTTTTGGTTTTCTAAGTCTGTGACTCTACATTTCATAATAATATTTTATTTTGTCTTCTCAAGCTACCCTTAGAAAACCACTGTTCAGTTCTTTGACATCATCATTTCTTCCAATTGCTTTAGCTCCTCTGATGAAGAGCGAGTGTCAGAGTCTCTTCTGACGTCCACTCTGATCTTTTCTTTCTGTCCTGTCTTTTGAACGACCCTTTGCTTTCTTCCTGTGTGATGTTCTTGATGCCATCCCACAGCTCTTTGTGTCTTCTGTCACGAGTGTTCGATGCATCAAATCTGGTCTTGTGATGTTCTCAAAATTCAGGTGGGATAGATTCAAGGTTTTATTTGTGCGCCCATGGGCTTATTTTAACTCTCTTCAGCTTCAACCCGACCTTACATATGAGCAACTGATGGCCAGTTCCACAGTCATGCCTGGCCTTGTGCAAGCTGCTGATACTGAGTTTCTCCATCGTCTCTTCCCACAGATGCAGTCCATTGGGTTCTTGTGTATTCCATCTCGAGAACTCCACTTGCATAGACAGACAGACGCCTTTTGCTTGTTGAAAAAGGTATTTGTCATGAAGAAGTCATTGGCCTTAGAAAATTCTATCATGGGGGCAAAGGGGGGTTGGGGAGGAGGGGGAAATGAGGAGCTGATGTCAAGGGCTTAAGTGGATAGCAAATGTTTTGAGAATGACGAGGGCAACGATGGATGGATGGATTGTGCTAAGAGTTGTATGGGCCCCCAATATAATGCTTTTTAAAAAAAAGAAAATTCTGTCACGCAATCTCCAGTTTCCTTGCTGTCATCAAGGCCATATT